ATACGTCTTTCGATTTTTCTTGTTTACGATTATATGTCTACATTCTATTATTTGACACTGTCAAATTAATATGGCTTTCAGTAGAAATGAATCGATTTATTATTATTTGCTTTCAATTTCGGGCGTAATTATATCACTGTTTTAAATTGAAATAAAAAGAAGAATTCACTCGCAAATAAAAAAAGGAAAAGCTAAGAGAAGTCGAGTGCCTGCCTCTTCTTTTCCGCCGTTTCCACTCCGTTACCCGTTCGTGCTGCCAACAGCTGACATGGAATACAGGCGAAGTTAACAAGGTTGTCAGAATATCGTTCAGAGCATTGAAAATGGAAGTACAAATGCGGAGTATCATCGCGTTTCGAATCACAATGTAATGTATAAACGAGTTGATACATTAATATTATAAGTTACTTATGTTATTAGAAATTATTGGGACGGGAGAGATACCAGCACTCTTTCTCATTATCGTTTCGGCATTTGTCCACTTCGTTAGTCTTTTGTAGGGCAAGTTCGGAGGGATTTAACGAAGTCGTCGTCGCGACGGAGAAGAGAATGAAGCTAGCGGTTCGTAAGAAGCCGGGGGCTTTATTAAAGCCTCCTATAATATTAAAGAGGCCGGGAGACTACCGGCGTCTCGTACGTGCTTATACTGCACGAATATTACCGCAGTCTCCAGAACGCATTTGGAATATACCAAAACCTGTACGTTCTTGTTATACTATGAGATTATATAAAAATATGACTGCATTATTATACGGGAATATATTTCACTGTTACACAGACATATAAATTTACAGAGAAAAATTATTCTCCCTCAGAATATAAAAAAATGTGTTCATTATAAACACAACGTGGATAAAATATCAAAGTAACATGCGATATATGGTACATCCTAACTGTACCCGTATTTCGCAAGGTATAATAATTCAATATAAAATTCCGTAATTTAATCTTTTCGTTTTTCTAAGTGTAATACCGTGCGGTTTCTTGCTCGCCGCAATCCCAGGATTATCGACGTCCGTTCGGTATACGGGACGGTTGATCGTAAATGAAAAGCATTTTCATTCAGCCTCGCTGTTATCTACGCTATCGTACGTTATCTACTTTGCAAGCATGTTTATTGTAGTTGACTCGTTGTTACGACGCAAGGTAATCACGCTACCGTGTACGTTTTAAACGGGATGCTCCCTCTTGGATGTCGTTATACTTCACGGCAATGTTCCCCTGCGCGAGAAGCGTTTCGTCCTTCGTGCTTCAGTTACAGCACGAGAACCGAGTGACCGAGCTGTCGTTTCGTGGTTACGACGTCGTTGCCGTATCGGCGTATATTGCCAATGAAAGAGACCTCGAACCCTCGGTACGCGTCGGTTCCGCAGAAGGGATGAATTTTCCGAGTGCGGAAAGGGGCGGCAAGCCCCTCCGGGAGGATGGGTTTATCCGCAGAGCTCGGTTTCAGGCCAAATTAAACATGAAGCTGCACGATCGTTTCGACTCGCGAAACGTTTCCTTCACAGGAGATCCAGCGTCACGGATTGAACTGAGGAGCATGCGTCCTCTGCCTCGTAACGCTGTGCTCGTATCTGAACGCTTAATTTTATATCACGATTAGACCGAATATATAGTCCACAAAGTCGGAAATATTAATGTCGGCAGAAAGGGGGACAGCTATATCTTTATCTCCGTGTTCGCGAAATGCAATCGAGAGTAATTTAATGAATAGCCTGTACGAACGCGAGTTAACTGAATCGTACGGAACAATGGGACGTGATATTAAAATAATGGTTTGATTTACTTGCTTTCACTCGTCAAAGCAGAATATTCGCGAATCAGCTAATTAAAACAGTCATACTCATTATGCGCCCTATCACAGAATAATCTTTCGCTAATGTACAATTGATTGTGACGTTAACCCACACGGGAAACTCTGTATTACTGGAAATTTGACGCGTGTTGCACAGCGTTACGCGTCATCGTTGATACACATCACTACTTTTCTCTCCTCTTCCCATGTTGCCTGCGGTTTACCGCGTTGAATAATGATATTAATTAATTGTGGGAATATTAGTAATACGCAAGCATAGACGTGTTCAATTCGCTAAACAAAAGTAGAACTGAGTGTAAATGCAGCAATAACATTCAGAATGCGACAACATTGAATTATTGATACAAAGCCTTACAAAGTCACGCACAGAGATGTATGTACGTGATCTAAATCTAATGACTAATAAATTTTGAAGGATAAGATAATAGATGGCATTGCTAGTCAGACAGAATATTAGGTGCCTTATAATTTTTAATTGAACTTATATCTATAAATTTGGAACAACTGTTTATACCGCGGACTACATGCCATTATTATTAACAGACTTCTAATGCAAAGATAATAAATTAATAAAGCGATAATCAAAAATCGATAAAAAATACGTCTTTTTTTCTCCTTATACGAAATTTAATAGATTTAATTTGATAGATTAATTTAATGGATATTATTTTCTGGACGTTTTCGGGAAATAATAATATTGAAATAACATTAACAGTTTTATAACATTTCGTATAAAATTTGTATAGATAGATACTAGTCAATTATAAATAATATATGAATAATAATCTGTATATTCAAAAATAAGAAAAAAATATAACAAGAAAAAATTTAAAGAAAATAAGGATTTCCAACTACTTCGAAATAACGAGCGAACTTTCAAAGAAGTGCGGCGCTTCATATAATCAATTAGAACTCCAGAACGAGTGAGATGCTAATGAAAGTTAAGTATAAACTAGAGCAAACTATCGAGTTGAACGAACGCATCAACCTTCATTGGCTTAAATCTATTTGTGTCATAAATCCTTTGATTCGTAGTTATTATATACAAAACATATTCACATAATAAATCACAATTTTAATATATTCTACAATATCAATAAATATCAGTAAATATGTGTCTCTATTGAGTTTTCGGAATATAGATGGAATGCGAAAAGGATTGTCAAGTG